CTCGATGAACCCCTGCCACAGTGGGAGATGGATCAGCTTGGGGTGTTGGACTTCTGGGGCTTTTCACTTTATCTCCACCACCGTAAGGATTGGCAGATCCTCACACCTCCTCCAGCTGATTGTGGCAAGTACTCCACCCTTCCTTCCTCTACGAGTGCAGCTCATGACCTCCCTCTGACTCGGTCGAGTAAACGGAGGCTGCAGAGAAAGAGGGCTGCCCAAACTGCTGCATCAGCCCCAGAGCGCCCTCCAGTGTCGGCTCCAGCCCCAGAGCGCCCTCCAGTGTCGGCTCCAGCCCCAGAGCGCCCTCCAGTGTCGGCTCCAGCCCCAGAGCGCCCTCCAGTGTCGGCTCCAGCCCCAGAGCGCCCTCCAGTGTCGGCTCCAGCCCCAGAGCGCCCTCCAGTGTCGGCTCCAGCCCCAGAGCGCCCTCCAGTGTCGGCTCCAGCCCCAGAGCACCCTCCAGTGTCGGCTCCAGCCCCAGAGCGCCCTCCAGTGTCGGCTCCAGCCCCAGAGCGCCCTCCAGTGTCGGCTCCAGCCCCTGAGCGCCCCTCAGTGCCGGTCCCAGTCCGGCTCCTTGCCCTGCCGGCACCACCCAGACGTCTTGCCCTGCCGGCACCACCCAGACGTCTTGCCCTGCCGGCACCACCCAGACGTCTTGCCCAGCCGGCCCCAGCCCGGCACCTTGCCCAGCCGGCCCCAGCCCGGCTCCTTGCCCTGCTAGCACCTACCAGACGTCTTGCCCAGCAGGCCCCAGCCCGGCTCCTTTCCCTGCCGGCACCACCCAGATGTCTTTCCCTGCCGGCACCACCCAGACGTTTAGCCCTGCCGGCCCCAGCCCGGCTCCTTGCCCAGCTGGCTCCAGCCCGGCTCCTTACCCTGCTGGCACCTACCAGACGTTTAGCCCTGCCGGCCCCAGCCCGGCTCCTTGCCCTGCCGGCACCACCCAGACGTCTTGCCCAGCCGGCCCCAGCCCGGCTCCTTGCCCTGCCGGCACCGCCCAGACGTTTTTCCCTGCCGGCACCACCCAGACGTCCTGTTTCTGTCTCTGTGTGCGCGCGCGCGCGCCATCGTGGGTGTATGCAGAGTGTGCGCGCTGCCACTTGATGTGGCCGCGCACGCTCTGCGTCCCTCAGACGCGCGCGCTCTTGTACTAGTGTTTGTGTTTGTTCTGTCAGCAGCGCGCTGCTTTATTCTCGGCGCCTCCGTCTAGTTAGTTTCAGTTTTGGTTGGCGCTGAGATGAAGCATGTGCGTTGCTTATGTGTGAGCGCACGGTAAGGTGTTTATCTATCGTGTGCTCGTGTCTTGCGTCTCTTGTCAAAGCACGTGGCTTGGTGTTTACATTGTGGTCACGTGCTTTTGTCGTGTGCTTTTGTCGTGTGCTTCAGTGTTGTGTTTGTTGTCATGAACATGCGGTTAATGAGTTCTCTCATTGGCTGCATGTTCTTGTTGTGTTATGTGAGCGCATGGCTTGTATTGTCTCTGTGTCATGCGCTCTCCCGTCTATTGTCTTGTCCCACCCTCCTTGTTAATCCATTATTAGTTAATTGTGTTCACCTGTTTGTGTGTTAATTTTCTACAGTTTATATACCCCTCACTTTTGCTGTCCTGTGCCAGTTCGTCATCACATGTTGTTGTTTAAACTCTTGTCTTGTCATTTTTCCAGTTATCATCGTTGCCAGCCTGCCCAGTCCTGTTTGTATGTATTTGTTTTGTTAATGTTTTCCCCCTCGGGGTAGTTTATTTTGCATTTTATTTTATTTTTATTATTTAATAAATTCCCATTTATTCTGCACTTGAGTCCTCGTTCCTTTTTCCCCTTTTCCCCACCACAACCGTGACACACAGATTTTATTTCTAAGGTTTTTTCAAAATTTGCGCATTGGCTTTGTGACAACACAGTTATAGCAGGTGATTTTAATTGTTTTTTCTCCTCATTAGTAGATAAATGTCCTTCAACACAAAATCGTAGTCAGATGTCAAATAGAGCCAAAGCTGTTTTGGATACCTGCAAAGAACTTGATCTGGTTGATACTTGGAGGGTGTTACACCCTAATGATAAGGAGTTTACATATTATTCAGCTGTTCATAAAACCAGTAGTAGAATTGACTTGATCTTCAACCCCTAAAATTTCTTTTAGTAAAGTTGAGTATTGTAATTTTGGGGATATTTTGATATCCGATCAAGCACCGCTCTGTATAGGCATAAATTTCAGTAATTTGACACTCTCTAATAAACAATGGAGGTATAATTCATACCTAAATTTTGACCCTAATTTTGAAGGTTTTTTTAACAGAACAGATGAATCACTTTTTTGTAGAAAACAAAACTCCGGGTGTTTCTCCAGGGTTACTTTGGGATACAGCAAAAGCATATGCTCGAGGTTTAATTATATCATATTTAGCTGGGCTTAGGAAAAAAGTAGAAGAGAACAGAGAAACTTAGAGCTCAAACTACATGATCTACAGGCCAGATATAATTTATCTCCCTCAGATGAACTAAGATGTGACATACAAATAACAAAAACTGCATTGGAAGCGATACTTACGAAAAAGGCGGAGAAATCAATGTTCTTTGTAAAGCAAAGTGTACGAATTTGCTAATAAACCTAATCGCTATTTGGCTAATCTTTTGCGGGTTAGGACATCTACTCAAAATATACCTTGTATTAAAGAGTTGAATGGTTCTTTGAATTATAATAATAAGGAAATTAATAATAGTTTTAGAATCTTTTTTGAGCAATTGTACACATCTCAATTTAATTATAGTGCTGAAATTAATATGGAAGCTTTTTTTACAAACCTATCTCTTCCTCAAATTTCAGATGAGCAGAGAAAGATATTAGACGCTCCATTAACTCTCAGTGAATTTAAGAATAGTATTCAATCTCTCCCTAATAACAAGGCACCAGGTCCTGATGGTCTCAGTGCAGAGTTTTATAAAAAAGTTTGTCAGTATTTTATCTGGCCAATTACATGAGATGATTCTTCACTCATTTGAAAAAGGGGTCCTTCCCCCTTCAATGATGGAAGCTAATATTTCCTTGGTTCATAAAAAAAGTAAACCTGCTGATGAATGCTCCTCTTATATACCCATATCTGTTTTAAATATAGATTCTAAGCTTTTTGTCAAAGTACTGGCTTCTCGATTGGAGTCAATACTACCTTCTATTATTAATAACGATCAGACAGGATTTATACGGGGTAGATTCTCATCACATAATATAAGAAGGCTTTTTAACATTATTAAACATTGTTCTTTGTATAGCCCAGACTCACTGGTTATATCACTTGATGCAGAAAAGGCTTTCGATCGGTTGGAATGGCCATACCTTTTTTTTGTGCTTAAAAAATTTGGGTTAGGGGCTGACTATATTATTTGGATCTGTATATTATACAATTTTCCTCTTTCTGCTGTAATTACTAATAGTCTTTGATCTAGTAACTTTAATATTGAAAGAGGTACAAGACAAGGATGTCCGTTGAGCCCTTTACTTTTTGCCCTGGCAATGGAACCCTTAGCGGTAAAAATAAGACAGGATACAAATATCCAAGGTATCTCTTTAAAGGATCAACAGCATAAAATTTCGTTATATGCTGATGATGTTTTGATTTACTTAGATTCCCCTAAGAAATCTATACCTAATTTGATGACACTAATTAATGATTATGGATCTTTCTCTGGTTACAAAATACATTTTTCTAAGAGCGAAGCCATGCCTCTTAATAATTCGCATAGATTAAATCCTAATATATCGCATCCATTTCGGTGGTCCCCCAGGGGCTTTTATTACTTGGCCATAAAAGTTTCCTCTCAGATATCAGACTTATAAAGTCTAAACTTCATTCCCCTTTTACAATCGGTAATACAAAATTTGGATAGGTGGTGTGCCCTACCATTATCCTTACTGGGTCGTATTCATCTCATTAAAATGAATGTTCTTCCACGCTTTCTCTACTTATTTCAAATGTTTCCTATTAAAATTATTAAAAAAGTTATAGCCCAGTTGAATAGTTCTATAATTTCATTTATTTGGGCTAAAAAAAGACCAAGACTACGATATAATGTCCTTATTCTCCCCATTAAATCAGGTGGTTTAGCTGCCCCATCCTTTTTATATTATTATCTGGCTGCTCAGTCTAGGTTTCTTTTAGAATGGCTTATAGATGACCCAGAATCTACTTGGATTGGACCTGAAGCTGCATCCCTGGACGGGATTCCCCTACTTAATTTGCTTTATATCTCAACTGCTAAAGCTTCTGCTCTGATCAAAGGTAATAGTATTTTAAAGAATATGTTAGACATATGGCGACAAATTAGAAAACGTTAAGGTTATGAGAATTGTTTCTCACTATTAACCCCTCTCCATGGAAATCCAGATTTCCCACCAGGCCTTAGAGCTGGGCTGGAAGATTGGAGTGATAAGGGCATTAAAGTGGTGGGTGATATTATTCAGGATGGTACGATTCTCACATTCCAACAGATTAAGGATAAGTTTAGTATTCCTAATGTGGACTTTTTTAAGTATCTACAGGTTCGAAACTTTATTTTGACAAAATGTAGAGATTACCCAGGAGGATTTGGTATTTACCCAGTTGAATCACTTCTTGCCATTGAGAAGCAGGTCAAATGCATTACACGGCGTGTCTATGTAACCGGTTCTGCGTTGTGTTTTCTTATTTTTATGAAGGAATAACCAGTCGGAGATCTGCAGTTGTTGACGGCTCTTTACTCAATGAGAATAAACCAAAAGCACAGCTTTTACAGTGTGTCTTCGCCCTTACAGCTTTTCTCGCCCATGCGCAGTCAGTGCAGAAAGGGGAGAGATGGAGAGAGAGATAGAACAAAACTCCAAACAATATTAACAAAGTGACAACCCAGCTAGAAATTTTACGTTCCCTGAACATTCTTAGAACGTCCCTGTCTGTGTTAAGGACGTTCTGAGAATGTCACAATTTTGAGTTATTTAAAGGTTTGGAGGACGTTATTTGGGGGACCTTTACAGAACATTCAGAACGTTCTCAGAATGTTTAGGGGACCAAACCTTATTGGAAAATTTGACATTCTCAAAAGTTCTCATAACGTGCTTGTTGGTGTTAAGGCCGTTGTCTAGTAACGTTCCCAGAAAGACAAGATGTGGACTTCTTTAAAGGTGTGAGGGACGTTATTTTGCGGACCTTCACAGAATGTTATTTTCTTGTACTGAATGTTAGAGACAGAAAGAGCTCAATCAATAAAATGTTACTAAAATTGGCTTTATTGGCAGAAAACATAAAGCATTTGTCAAACAATTTAATTTTTAATATGCTGTGTCTGTGTGTGTTTGTGTGCGTGTCTTAGTCACGTTCTCTATGGTCCAGTTGTCTTTCTGCTGCCTGAAACAAAGCATAAATAACAATATTTACAAATAGGTTCACTTACTTTGTATTTATTTTATTTTTTTACTTTCAGGTGTACACAGTGGTGCTTGAGTCTTATAAAATAATTCAAAATTAATATATTTTGAAATTAAAAAAATGCATAAATCTCCATATCTACATCCCACTTATCTATTATTAAAGAACTGCCACTCAAATATCTTTTGATAAGAAAACGGTGTTGCACACTCCACTGAAGACATCCATAAGCCTACATAGTTATTTTCGTTTGCGAAGCGCATAAATTTGTTTCCAAACTACTTCTTTTTTTTTTATTAGAATATGCAAAAATCTTACAAATACAAGAAAACATCAACAAATAACCAATACAAAGTAACGAAACAAAAACAAAACAAAAACAACAACAATATAGTGAGGTACTGGTATGTGCGTGAGTGTGTGCGTGTGAGTGTGAGTGTGTGTATGCATGTAAAGGTAACTTAGTGGACAGGTCAGAGTACATACATTAGAATCAATAACAGTCAATAAATGAAGCAAGTGTCACAGATATAGATAAAACATATAGAAAGAAACCAGTTAATAAAAAAGGTCACAGTGCATTTAAACAACGCCTACTATCTGCTGCTCTAGATTACCCCCTAGCGGACACTCCATGAATTACGTTTGTCATTTTCTTTTTACCTGTTATTTGTATTTTTTATTTTTAATGAATCCAATTTATTTAATAGTATATTTTAATGATGATATTGATCTTTAAACCACTACAGAGACACGATTCTTTCATCTACAGTTACACACGAGAGGAGTATCAGTGCAGCGACACAACAGGACAACTCCTGAGCCTCTCAATGCCTGTGCTGTTCTCATCAGAGCAGTCACACATGGGGAATATAACACAAGCTGTGCTAGACTTCATGAAGAAAGATTAGAGTATATATGGGAAAACATTCATTTTGTTCTCTACAAATCTACATTGAGCTCTATGACACTGATTTGACCAAACTGTAAACATATTATTATTATTATTATTATATACCCTCCAGTACAGCAGGTGGCGGTATTCAGCTTTACGCTGCTCTCTGTAACTCGCCACACAGGAAGAAGAAGAAGAGGAGGATATCCAGGTATGTGTTTGTTCTGTCTTCTCTGTGTCGAGTGTTTATACTGCTTCAGGTAAAAATCACTCTAGTAAAATGTAACTCCGCAGGTGCTTTGATAACCCTGCAGCTGTTTGACTCTTCTCTGCTCTGTTTAGAGTGTTTGTGACGGATGTTTTTCACTGAACTCATGATCTGCCGCTCCCTCAGAAACGAAAGTGAAAGTGTTTAGTTGTGTCGCCATTTTAAACAGACGAAATCCACCATTTACAACGCAGAACAGCTTTAAATCTTTAATGTCATGACTAAACCTGTAAGCTTTATGTGAATGTGTGTATGATGTTATTATAATCAAACGGGTGACGCTGTGATTCTTCATCAGTTTACTCGTGATGAGCTTCTGGATTTGAGTGTCTCAGCTGCTGATCTATTCCTGCATTCAGCTGAATTATGAAGGCTGATCAATGACTGGAGATCTGTGATTGTTCATCAGTTTCTGCTGGAGATCAAACTCTTCAGGTCCATCATGGAGGACACACACACACCTGGAGATCTGGATTTGTCTACAGGATGCAGGTATTAGACCTACACGTGACATTTCATATGATTATTTTCAACAGGATATTATATTTACTCTCTGTTAGTTGTGTTTTCAATCTGTCAGAATATTTAACACACACAGTCAGCAAGATTTTGCACAATCATCATGAAAAGTATCATGAAGTGCTGTTTAAACAGTGTTTTAATGATGAAATATTGAGTAAATCTGCTGTGTTGACTCCAGTGTGTGCAGCGCTGAACTTTAATCTTCTCTGTTTTAGTTCAGTTCATCAGAAGAGAGCAGAAGCAGAGCCCAGCTGTGTGTCTATGAAGAGTGATGTGTCTATGACTGAACCATTAAAATTTAAGAGTGAAAACACACGACCTGCTGTCAGGTAGATCATCTCTTTAATATCTGCAACTGATGAGTCAGGGTTCAACGCTAAGAATTTTTTCTACTGGCCCGATCGGGCCAGTGGTTCTGATTTTTACTTGCCCTGCCAAAATTTTCACTGGCCCAAAAAAAAAAAAGAAGTTAATAGCTATTTGACTGTGCGTGTGTGTGTGTGTATATAGATATATATACACACACACACACACACACTTGATTTCAGAATTATTAGTCCCCCTAAATTATTAGCCCCCCTGTTTATTTTTTCCCCAATTTCGATTTAACAGAGAACAGACTTTCTCAGCACATTTCTAATCATAATACTTTTAATAACTCATCTCTAATAACTGATTTATTTTATCTTTGCCATGATGACAGTAAATAATATTAGACTAGATATTCTTTAAGACACTTCTATACAGCTTAAAGTGACATTTAAAGGCTTAACTAGGTTAATTAGGTTAACTAGGCAGGTTATGGTAATTAGGCTAGTTATTGTATAATGATGGTTTGTTCTGTAGACAGTCTGAAAAACAATTAGCTTAAGAGGCTAATAAATTGACCTTAAAATGGTTCATAAAAAAACTGCTTTTATTCGAGCCAAAATAAAACAAATAAGATTTTGTTCAGAGGGAAAAAAAAATATCAGACATACTATCAACATTTCTTTGCTCTGTTAAACATCATTTAGGAAATATTTTAAAAAGAAAAAAAAACAAAAACAAAAGGGGGCTAATAACTCTGTGTGTGTGTGTGTATATATATATATATATATATATATATATATATTTACAGTAATTTTTTAAATGTTTTTTTAAGGAAAATTATTCAGTTCATCAAGGCTATATTTATAAATGTAAAAAATGTTAATTAAATATTTATCAACATTTTAAATAACTGCTTTGTTATTGTATATAGTTTCAAATAAAATCATTACTCCAGACATTATTGATTTTATTACTATTATCATTTATAAATATAATAATAATTAATATTAGTGATTTCTGAAGGATCATGTGACTGGAGTAATGAAGCTGAAATTTCATCTTTAAAATCCCTGGAATAAATGAATAAATTATATGATAAACTACTTTTGAACAGTTATTTTATAGTGAAACATTTCACAATTTGTATTTATGATGAAATAATTGCAGCCTTGGTGAGCAGAAGAAGCTTATTTTAACATATTTAATCACACTGACCCCAAACTTTTGAGCAGTTGTGTATAGAATATTTTATAAGTGAAAATGTGCACTTCAATTTTAACAACCCACAGACATCATCACCGAATTTAAAGCAGAGGTCAGACTTTCTCATTATATACAGAGCCTCATTTCAATTGTCAGGTTTTGTATAGATGTCTATCTATTGAATTAATCAATCTATTAAAGAAACGTTGACTATAATTCTGTATTTTAGGCTTAAATTATAGAGAGACATATCAGATGAACCGAGACTGCATCAGATCGCGAAGCAGATCAATGTTGATTTTCTTTCGAGCTGTCAGTGCAGAAATGAACAAAACAACCGGCCTAACACAACATATTATACGATTAAAACATGGAAAAATGATCAGATATTAACTTCGGTCAATTTTCCTAACGGATAAACTGAGATCAGGCTGGATAAACAGCTCTCGGTAATATTTCAGCATGCTTTCACTTTCGCATTTACCGGTAAGAATGACATCTCGCCCGCTCATCATTCTCTCTTCATATAGCCGTATATATGGCTATTACACAATCATAATACACTGTAATATAGCCTGGGTCGTTAGTTCGTTGCATTGTTTTGTTTTCTCGCTACAAACGATCCGCTCAATAGGACAGAAACCGTCTCATTCAGGCGATCTCGGATTGATTGATTTGGCGCGGATGCGACTGCAACTGCTGGATATATGCCAAAAAAACACGCTAACGGGGGAAACGAGACAGATTCCGAAACAAACGTCTATGTGTGAAAGCACCGTAAGATTGTATTTGCACACAATTGACAGACAGTTGCAGCACGCAGCTCTGGCTCGATCTGGCTGGCAAAAAGGCAGCACTGGCCCGATCGGGCCAGTAACATTCTGTACACTGGCCCGAGTGTCTTGCACGCTGGCCCTGGGCCATCGGGCAGTCCTTATTGTCGAGCCCTGTGAGTATTTTCATAATAAATGAATCAGGTAATTTAGTGTTGTGGATCTGTTGGGTTTCAGATGTTAGATGTTGTATCTGAGCTCTGCAGGATAGTGCTTGAAGATCTCCGCTTTACACTTCAGGCCACAATTGATGGTGTTAACAAACCAATCAGCGCTTTATTAATAGTTAGTGAGGTAGAAGGTGGGTTTAGGTTTTGGGTAGGGTTAGGGATACACAATAAGATCATACTGTATGACTACTAATGAGCAGTTCATATGTTCACATTCCACAGATAATAAGCCGGTAGTTATAGTATGAATTGTGAGCTAAACTAAAGTGTTCCCGATCTCCTGCCATAAAGGGCTTTTCCTGCACACTTTCCCCTGCTGTTTCTGTGCTGTACTGATCAGCCATTCCTCTGATCTGAGTCTGTTTCCACTGAAGCGCAGTCATCATCATGTTGTGTTGGCCTCATAGATGCTGCTGATCAACACATTTGGTTTCTAGAATTGATATTTCTTAAGTTCTCCTGCTCATTCAGTCATGATAGATGATGGTAAATGAACTTGTCTTGCTGTCCTCAAAGTCTGGACTTGAGCTCTGCAGACAAACCCCCCAATGAGTGACCTTCTGAAGACTGAGTGATGAGGAGGAGGATAAGGGGAGCTGCTGGAGGCGGGAATAACAGTCAGCTGACACAGTGCAGTTTATACTGCTGCTTATAGTCATGTGATGATGATTGACACGCCTGGATGATTAAGCTCCTCCCACACCTCAACTGTGGACTTCATTCAGTGATTTGATGATTAGTTTCAGCTCTAATCTGCTCTAATAGTGCTGCATTTCTGTTGGGCTTTCTCTACTAGAAATGAGCCTTGATCTGTGTTTGCTGATATTTTCACATTCAGACAGTTTTTGTTCAAATATAAAGGAAATTAATTTAAGTGTTTTTGTAAATGAAGAATGATTAATATCAGGTTTGTGCAGTGTGGGCAGCGCTCAACTTTAATCTTCTCTGTTTTAGCTCAGTTCATCAGAAGAGAGCAGAAGCAGAGCCCAGCTGTGTGTCTATGAAGAGTGATGCGTCTATGATGCAACCAATGAC